ACCTTCCTGCTATATAGCTGTCCGGTTTTCTCGAGAAGTCGACAAAAATATTTGAGGGCTGTCAGTTTTACCTGACTGAAGCACATACTTGAGGTTTCTGTTGAAATCCTAATAAAATTCACTAATAACAATGGGCCTTAATGGTTTACGAGTGACCCTTTTGGTCTTAGGTTATGCTGGCAGACTGACCTACTAATATCCTTAGATATTAAAAATATATTATAAAAGGCATTATTGGAGAAGTTAACGCTTTCAAAAACAATATTAATTTTTTTTTATAATGGGATTTATTGGAAGCCAAACGGATTTAGGAAAACTGGGAACAATAGTATACCATCGAAAATTCTCTAAATCATCGAAAATGTTTTAATCGTAATCAGTTTTGGCCATTATTACAATATTTCCATACAATGGCTTATATCACAGAATAATGAAAGGCAAAATTAGTAAGTGAAAACAGTGTTCCTTCTAATAAATAATTACACATTATTCTTATGTATTCTTATGTATTATGTGTTTATGTATTCTTAAGTACTGTTAATTTTATGTAGAATTTCATCTTTCATATGTCAGTTGGAGTATATATAAATGATGCGCTGATTATCGTCTATCTTCGCTTCAATCACATGTTAAAAATTTACAAATTCTATTTTATTGTGTTTAAGTACTCTTAGAAAAACTATTGTATATTAAAATTTAATAAACAGCAAAATTACTTATTATTAAGTTAATAATATTATATATCTATTACATTAACGTTGTGAATGTTTTTTTATTTAAAAGCATTAGTACTTGTCATCTATTATATTCTATGCTTACTAAATTGCTTCTAAATAGAAACTAGAGTTCCCTAAATTATCTTTCTTAACTATCAGTTGCCGATTCGTATTGTGCTGTGAAGGTTCTATACTTTTTTATGAATAGATATGTATGAGAGGCTAATTGAAGTGAAATTGGTTTATTTCCACAGGTCTTCATACTCACTATAGTCATTCTTATCGAAAATGTATCTGATCACAGCTACACAAGCCAAGCAATGTTGGTTTGTGGCACATTATCAGGTTATATGATTATTTGCAGCGCATTACTTATTGGTAATTATAGATATTATATTGAATACTTTGGCTTAATCGTATTTGGCTGTTGAATTAATGAAATCAATTAATTTCACTAAATTTCATTATAATTCTATTTATCTGTTAGGCCACCTGCTAGGCACTCCAACGCCTGTAGATAAACGTATTGATTTGCTTTTCAGCATTGGTGCCTGCATAATGTTTGTATCTTCTGGCGCAGTAATTGTAGACCAATGGAGTACGGCGTACACTTCTAGAAAAGACAAAAATACAATTATAGCTGCTGGAGCGATGGCCATAATTACTGGGGCCATTTTTATAGCTGATACACTTGTTATATTTCGCAGTTAGACTTTTCGCTTTTAAGAACATATATAATTATCTCATTTATTATATTAATTGAATTAAATAAAACAGAAATTGATAAATTTAACAAAAACTGATCTAATTTATTTCCTAGAAATCTGAACATAATTATCTAAAGAATTATATAATAATTTTTTCAATTTTTTAAGGTGATTGCCGTGGTCTGTATTATCTTATGGGAAACTGTTGGCACGCTCTCTAGTCGATACATGATCGTATGCGGTACTGTTGCTGGTTTCACAATTATCTGTGCTGTCTTATTCATTGGTAAGACTTGCTATCAAAATTCTATACTTTTTTAGATAAATTAATAAAAAAATTTGAATCGTTGCTAAACAAATTCTTGAATTATTTTTCAGGTCACATTCTGGACTCACAAGTGGAAAAACGCATGAACGCTCTATTTTCGATAGTCGGTTGTGTGCTCTTCATCATCTCTGGTATCTTAGTAATTGAACAATGGCAGGACGATAAATGGTTTGGATTCAATAAAGAGAACCGTCGTTATGCTCTAGCTGCCGGATCGTTGATGATCATTAATGGTGTCATCTTCCTTTTGGACGCAATATGCATTTTTAGATCGTAATTTTCATGTCTAATTTATTTAATTTCAATAACAGATCTTCTTTCACACAACAAGAAAAACCTCTTCAAGAACAGAAGTATCTTTTATATTATTATATATATGTCCAAAAAAATCTCAAACATAAGTATCACTTCATATGCACATACATACTCCACAAGAAATTTAAAAAATCTCATATCAATCACTATAAGATGCATCGCAGAGGAAAGAATTTAATCCTCAAAAACTTAAAGAAGCAGTCCTTGAAATGACTTTATATTTTGACATTAAATTTAAATAAACTTTTCTATATACATCCCTTGTATTCTGTGTTTATATTGATAATTACAATATTGTATTTGTATATATATATTAATATATATGTCGCTGTAGATGTGTATGTGTATATGTTGTTTTGTATTTGTATCTTAGTCTATTTATATATGTATTTTATATATAAAGATAATGCTTTTTGCAAAATAAGAAATTTCTCTTTTAATTATCAATAAAAAGTATTTGTACGAGTAATAAAGAAAGCTTTTTTACTGTCTTCACTTGTCTTTTGATGTACATGACAAATATGTTTCGGTACTGGTCTAGACATTTAAAATACCACAATTTTATATTCGACGCGATTTTTTATACTTTAAAACTTTCTTTTTACAGTCGAGTGGAAGTGCCTGTGATAAGAGATGTGCCCAAAAATAAGCTTGAAATTAATCGCTTCTAGACGTTGCATGCGATCTTTTAAAGAAGGTGGGTTTTAAAAGATCGCACACTGCTTTGAAACGAACCAAGCACTTGTTGACTAATTTGTAAGAAACCGAATGTGATATATATTATTTAGTATTCATAAAAAATATACAAATCGAAATAAAATACAATTATTAACAAATTTTAAAGTTATTTATAATTGCTTTGGAACTCCATCCAATGGAGAGCATGTTCGGAAATGAAATTAATTAACAGGTTATTTGGTAGAGTATCATAATAAAATGAAAATACGAACCTTGTCATCGAAAATTGAATTGACTGTACAGATCTGAAGTCCAAATATGCAATACATATATATCCTGAATATATATCCGATTGACAATATAGTTTACACATATTTCAGTTCTGTTTCAGTTTCGTTACAATATATTGAAATCGTGTGGTGATGAAAGTTAAAAACGCTTTTTTACAATCATCAAAATGCATACATTTAAGCTTTTTTTTTAAATAAACGACGTGGCGGGTATTTGCAGGATCGATAGTAAAATAATTTTAATTTGCATTTAACTTGAGTTAATTATTTTCGTACAAAGTAAATATTTTAATTCCTTAGTAGATTGTAAATTAAAGTTAAACGATATATGGTATATAAAAAATAATAAAATGATTTATATAGTGTATTTTTTTGTTTTTCGTTTAATTTAGTGATAATAGGATATACTTTAATGTTACAATTGTTAATGAGAATCAGTCGTAATATCTTTGCCAAGAGTGTTTTTATATAAAATTGTGATATTTACTACATACACAGTTGTATGTTGCTATTTAATAAAGTTTACGTAAAAATTTCAATACTTTCATAGTTTAAAAAACTAATAATTTCGGAATTAAAAGTATTTAAATATTAAATAAATTAATTTAATATCAACTTTCAAATATACGGATTCAATTTATGGAAGAATATCAGAAATTGTTGCATACTTTTTAGCTGTGCTTTAAATTTTAAGTTTGCTGGAATTTTTTAGGTATTATTTTTACGATATTCATAACACATTTACGATAATATTTTTTAAACTCATTGACTTTATTAGATTTATAACTGTCCTTGATTCTTTAAGTTACAGCTGGCGACCAATACGTCATAATATTATTCTGTTCCATTTTCTTCAAATAGCTTTTTATACTTTGAATTATAGTACCATTTTGTGGGATTAGGGTTGGATGTTTGTATTAGATATACCCGAGAGGTTTGTTTGTAATTTTAGTTGTCATGTTTGTAATTTTAGTTGTCAATTAATGTTGCTGTCAATACAAAATTAAGGTTTTTGACAGTTGAAATTACAAACAAGATTCTCGTGTGATTTCAGTAGTAGGTTGTCATTGACTAAAAGCGTATATAGAGACTATGTTAAACGCTTTCGAATTTTATCATCTTTATATGAACAATTAGGTAAATATAGCTTTGCTAGCACAGTGTAAGCATAGTGTTACTGGACCTTTGCATTTGGATTTCATCTTTTTAATGTCAACTTTCTCTAGTGGCGCATAGACCGCACATCATTTGGTTTGGTGTGTCTTAACTGAAGATATCTAAGGCACTGTACAAATACACCATAAAGTTGAATACATTAGACTATATAAAGTCCACACTGATGCGGCTACAGACCATCTCATATGTTAGGACTCACTTTAAGTACATATTTATTTATGTGCTGGTTACATTAACTGGTTAATCGCTTCATTCCTGTTGCTAATTTTATCCGTACATAATCACAACTAGTTACTACTTTCGGAGACTTCATAAGAGGAACAAGTGCTGTTATTTCTAGAATTTCATCGATCAGAATTGCTTCAATTGATTGCTTCAATTATTGTTGCTGGTGACCCCATATTTAATTATTAACTTTTGTATTTAAGGAGTAATTCTAATCTCTGAGAATTATTTTTAAAGTACTGCTAAGAGTGTTCGGATTTGAATTACACAGCTGAATGATCTTATCAGTTACATTTTGCGTAATATTCTAGTTGCTTTACAACACTTATTATATACGTCTATTTTGTATTTATTCGTAACTGTTAAGAACAAGAAAAACTCTGTACGATGACGAATTAATTATTTGTTGTTTGCATCAACTGTTTAAAATGTATATCTAAAGAAAAAACGGTAAATTATACTTTGTTTAAATTTATTAGCAACGTTAGTTCTTTAATCACTCCCGGCAAGTACCTTGTCCTTTGAATATCCATGCTATTCGTCATTCAATTTTGGGTGGATATAAACGAAACGCGTCTGATTTATTGCAAGGGATTAATGTGATATTACTAGATTTTACTTAATTGCATATGAAGCATATCCAAGTTTTTAGTGTAGCCAAGGAGATGTCTGGTTGGAATTGATTAGGTCAATAAGACAAGGATGAGAGGAGGGAGGCTGCCAAGAGAAAGAGTTTTTATGGACATTCTAATTTGTGTACCAATGCAAACCAAAACAGTGTTGGTATTAATACAGTTATTACAACTATTACATCCAACAGAATTAAAATTTTTTTACTAATTTTAAGTTTGCAAATAGAACCGTATCAGGAGGAAAAATCACTTTTCCTGATAGTGTTTTGGTCAATATGTGCAGTTGAAAATAACTGAAAACAGAAGAAGCAAGTACGATTGTAATTATGTTGACGGTAGTTAAATCAGTGCACTTCAGCACTTTTAGTCTCTATCAACTGCGAGGTTTCTTCATAACCCCTCTACGCCTTGACTGAATTATTGTTTATCACTTTATCAGACTGAGCAATAACTGACTTCAGATCTACATACCTGTAATCGAGGAGCCTATAATCGTTCTGAAATTCGTTAACGCGGTGTTGATAAGTATGTCAGTTTTCGTAAATAGTATCAAGGCTCTATCTTTTATGTATTTTTTGATCGGATCAAACTTGTGGTCCTGAGGAACCTGGCTTTGTGCAATTTCTAGCTGGCGTATAGTAGAGTTTGAGGCCTACACATCCATATAGTGACGATCGAATTACTTTCCTTTTCGATTTTCGCTGTATTAGGTCATTCATGTGGGTAAGTAGATCTTCTTGGTTTCACAATTGTCTGTATCGTTTTATTGTTCGGAAAATATTTCCGAGATTATTACGTATTTCTAATTATTTATTTTTATTTATTTAATTCTTATTATTAGTGCATAATTTATTGAATTAAATTTAAGCTTATGTTTGGGGCTCATAAATTGGACAATCAATCCAATAATCTATAATACATAAAGAGTATAAAAGTTTTGATAAAGTCAAAATTAATATTTTCTCGTTTTAAACTTTTAGTAAAAAAATTAAGTTGAAAAAAAAATATTAAAAACAAAATTTTATAAATATTTTTTAAATAATATAAATTTAAATTTTATAAATTTACTCAAAATTTATAACTGTCGATTTGAATACATTTTGAAATCAGCTGCTTGCAACCAATTTTTTGTTGAAGCACTTTATCGGCTATGCTTTGACACAACGCACAACGGAGAAACTCGTGCAAGGAGAGAGAGCATTAGAAGTAAATACTAAAGTCGAACAGCTCAGTTGTATGAGCGAATGCTGAGCTGAAAACAACAATGTGAAGATGAAGTTGCAGACAAAGCAACAAGTATAGCAGACCAACTTGGAAGAGAAGAGTTGATCTCTGAGTATGTCGTCTCGGCCGCTACTTTGTCAATAAGATTTGCTCAGCAAGCATGTACGACGTTGTTTTGTTCAGCAGGAAGCAGTCAAGTTTTGACGGTCGTTCGTAAAAGTTGTGTTGATTTCTGCAGCCGAAGAATGAAGTCAACAAACGTTTTTGAAGGAATACTTTTCACGATTTTATAAATAAAAATTAAAAACAAACGAAATACATATGTGTGCTAATATGTAGTTAAATTTATTAATATTTATATAAATTTCAAATAAAAAGTGTTCGAGAAAATCGTTAAAAGTTGATATATTATTAATACGAGTGCAACATTAAAAAACTATATTTTAAATAGTATAAATTAATTTAAAAAATAATTGAACAGCATAGTTCAGATAATACATATATACTGAAATATATAGCTTATTCAACACATATCTTATTTGTTTTAAAAAAAACTGGGTTGTTATTTAACGTAAGTTATTTGTTCTGCTATACCATTCCAATCATTTTAGTTGGTAGCAAAACTGTACGCATTGCATTTAATGTTGTGATTTATTTCAAATTTTAATATTATTTATCTAAAGTATCATTTTGCTTAAAAAAAACAATCAAAATTTTCTACAAAATAAAAGAAGTCAAATTAAAATTTTATATAAACAAAAGATTGTTTCATTTGACTCGAATTTTATGTCTTTTCGATTGTCTATGAATGTTTTCATATTTAAATATATATATATATATATATGTTTGTAATCATTTTTTCAAACTCATATGATTTGACAGTCAACGATGAAAGACAACAATACTCTGTTCCACTCCTCTTCAGTTCAGGTTAGTTGAATCTATATATTAATCCACCTCATCCGCGTCAAATTTTTTTTCGGTTTTATGTTTTTCGATTTTTAACATATGTCGCGGGTGGCGCTGGTCGTCGTTGCTTATGGCACCATAACAGCAACAAAGAAATAAGATATCAAGTGCATTCACACTTGAAATCTGAATCTGAAATAAAAGTAAAAAGTGCGATTTTACTAAGAATTTTGTAGAATATTCGCACCCAAGGGGCAAAAGGCTTTAGCCGTTTTTGATTACTAAATCCAAACAATACACAAAACAGAACAGAGCAGAACAGAGCAGAACACAACACACAACAACACAACAAAACACCAGCAAACCCAAAAGATTTATGAAAAATCATTCAATATATACAATACATAAAAGTCATAATATTAAATAAAATAAGAAAAAATTCACTTAAAAATAAAATTAAAAATTTTAAAAGAAACTTGATTGTCTACGTTGCAAGCTAAGCCAAGCCGTAGCAAAGTCGTGGTTGCAGATACTCACTCACTCACTCACTCACAAGACTTGTTGATTATTTTTTTATTTTAATTTTTAATTTTTCGCTTTTTTGTATGGACCGATTGACTCTAAGTCGATGTGGTGGTACCCTAAGTATCTTTTCTTGGCTTGTTTCTGTGTCTACTGTTGTTGTCGTTATTGTTGTTTTTGTTGTTGTGAATTGTGCCACTTTTATTTTGGCCAAAAGGAATTGAAAGTTATTGAGCTCAATTTTCGTTAATAGCGCAAAAAATCCAACGTTGAAATTTATCTAAAAAAAACGTACTAAATATTGAATTAAAAAACACAAGAAAAAGGAAGGAGATTTGAAAAAAATTAGTTAAGATATTTGAGCATTTTCAAGGAGAAGTGTTAACAAGTGTTACCGAAATTGTGATTTTAATTTTATTTAACAATATTTCGAGAAGAGAAAGCGAATATACGAGAACTTACTTTTGCAACATCAAACTGGTAAGTAAAATATTTATGGTATTACAATTGATTTATTTTGAAATATAAATGAATTATCATTACAATTCTAACAAATTTTAGAATCCAGAAAAATATAATTATATGATATGACAAAAAACTTATAACTGAAAATACATTATACTATATATTATGTATAATATTATAAGTTGTTCCAATCAATCCATGTTTGATTGTTATTACACTTAATTTAAAAAATTCAAAACTTGATATAAAAACGATTTAATATTATTCCAATATTAATGCATAGAGCCCTGAAATTAATTACGAAAACTGACAGGCTTACTAACACCGCGTTATCGAATCTCCAAATGGTTACAGGTTCTTCGAAGAGGTATGCAGATCTGAGGACAAATATTGCTTAGTCTGATGAAGTGATAAACAATAATCCAGTAAAAGTGTAGAAAAGGGTTATGAAGAAAATTGCAGTTAATAGAGAGCAAAAGTGCTCAAGTGCACTGACTCAACTAGTCTCAATATAATAATAGTGCAGTAGTGTAGGTGATATAAATATAGTCAAGTGACGCATCATTTAGAAATATAAAGAATTTTCTAAATTAGAATATGCCGATTGATTGAAAATTTTTTTCAAGGAACTCTGCTCGAAGTTTTCAATAAAGGTTTTTACTTTCTTAAATTACTTGTTGTCCATTTTATAAAAAAACAAAAGATTCTCCCTATATATAAGGAGTAAAACTAGTATAAACAATTTTTCTTTCAAATCAGTCATATCATTTCATCAAATTTACAAATTTTTTCCTTTTTAACATTTTTTTGAACTTTTGGATCAAGTTAATAAGTTAATGTTAATGAGAGCTTAATCTGGAGACGAGATTTTGACACATTACTACGGGCTTATATTTGTAAAAATTATATTATATGAATATATATGAATATAAGTTACTTTTTATAGGAGCGCTACAACAGATTTTTTTTTGAAGCGGTAGGCAGAGTTATATATTTTTCAATTAAAAACTCAGATATATTACCATCATTCATAGCTCCTACAAATTAGTTTAGGTCAGAGATGCTTTTTGATATATACTTTCGATGCTATTTATATTATATAATTATTGATATATAGAAAGATTATTTATTACACTGTTTTTTTGTTTTTTGTGGAGAAGGAATATTTTCAAATTTTTTTTAATTTACACAAATTAAGAAAATTCAACTCTTTTTTTTTAGTATAAAGCTAAAATATAACTGCAATAATATTATTAATAATTACTTGTACTTATTATATTCTAATGCGTATATATAATTTGATTTTATTAACAGTAAATAAAATTTTTGCAATAATTTTTTGGGTATATTTTTGTTTTTTGGTCATTACTACTCGTAGATCTCATATAATCTGAATAAATTAGAAATCGTATAAAAGCAACGCAAGAGAAAATTGAATGATGAGACTTAAAATTTTAATTCTTAATTAAAATTAAAATTAATCAATTTTTATTTTTTGTCACAATTCTTATCATATCGTATTTCATGGTTTCTTTTGATGGCCTAATAAAAATGCTGTTTTGTTCACAGTTTTCAAATCAATTTCGCTAAATTTCTTGTTTTAGAATCTGAGTTATAGAAAAATATCTCAGCCTCACACATGTAAACGATATTTTAATAAAAAAAATGTTCATATCAAACATGGACCAGATCAGACTTGACTAGAAAGTTGCTGGTAATTTTCTTTTTTGAAATGTCTTAATGTCAAAATTCTTTTTTGTTTTAGCTTTTTAATGTGATTTCCTACCAGAATAACATGCTGCCAAAGCAAAATCTATTTAGTTATAAATTAATGACATTCATTTGCATTTGTACGTATAGATCTTTGTAAATTATGTATGTCAACTTATGAATAGGAAAAGTTGTTGGGGAAAATATTGCAGATTTCCTAACTAAAGAATGAATTTAATTCAATATTTCAATTGATGAAACAAACGTATTCGTAGAATAATCAAAACTTAAATAAAATTATTTTATAGAAATTAAGAAAACTGCTATTCTATTATCCCATTACTTCGGATTATAATCATGTACGTATAACTT